TCTGTTTATTAATTGTATGGAACCTGTTGATTCTTCTCTAGTATTTTCACCAAGATCACATGCTGTGAAATCCAATAGATCTGTTTATTAATTGTATGGAACCTGTTGATTCTTCTCTAGTATTTTCACCAAGATCACACTGTGAAATCCAATAGATCTGTTTATTAATTGTATGGAACCTGTTGATTCTTCTCTAGTATTTTCACCAAGATCACATGCTGTGAAATCCAATAGACCTGTTTATTAATTGTATGGAACCTGTTGATTCTTCTCTAGTATTTTTACCAAGATCACACACTGTGAAATCCAATCCAAAATATGACACTTTGTAACACTTCATCACACTTGAAGGCTGCTCGATCGTAACCAATATGGATTTAAAATAAGTGCATCGAAGAAACAATCTTCAGTTAATAGTAGGTTAAGAAACACGAATTACAGAAGAGCCTTCTTAGGGAAAGTCAATGATATGTTTTCAACTACCGATCAACTAGGATCAACTACCGAATATAAATGGTTTCTTTTATTTACAGATCGTAAAGTTAAATAATTGATTGTAAGAAGCATCGAATCTATTTGCACTCACGTACCAAAATTAAAATCTCGTTCCTAAGAAAAAAAGATATTTCAATGCGCTTTTAACTAATTTAATATGTTCAGCAAACATTTTACCTGGCAAATCATAAACAATTTAAAACACCTCATTCCTCTTGAAACTTTCTTCATCACTTTTTGCACCTCTACTGCATCATACTTTTCTTACCGCAAACTTTTCTTTTAAACTGATTTCTTGGAGTTTAGAGTAGGATTATTACTTTACGGAGGTCATTTGTTTTATTATTTCTCAGCTTTTTACTACTGAACGTAAGAGTTAGGGAGTTCCAATGGACGATTTTTCTCTGAGGCAATAATATATTTTTAATTTCACCCCTAATATATAGTATGTTATAAAGTTTTTTTTTTTTTCTAAGAAAATTTATAATTTGAGTTTCTAGTGGGTTTTTGTTGTTTTGGGTCTTTTGTAACCCGCAAAATTGGTTTTCTAAGTGAAGTGTGTGTGTTTGTTTTAGGCGTTTCCTTTATTTTTTATGTATTTTTAATGGTGATTTTGCCCTAAAATTCTATACAATAACGGGAAATCAGGGTTTCACAAAAACGGCTCCTACAATATCTCAATATTTAATAAGTTATATTCCTTTTTCATTCTAAACCAAATGGCACCACCCCCAACTGCTGTAAATATTACGGTTCAAAAGTTATTGCAAAAATATCATACTGTAGTTACTCCCGGCCAGGATAAGGTTTGTTGACAAACTAAGAAGATAAAGTATGTATCAGATAGTTGATACCGTTTAATAGTATTCTGAGATCAGCACGAATCCTAGAAGTCTCCATTTCAATAAATATTCAAACACTACTTAAATTTGTAAAACATATTTATACGTATTCGATAACCATGATTTCTATAACCAAGTAACTTTATTAGAGGTAAAAGCGAACTTGTCTCCTAAACATTGTGCAGTCAAATAGTCATTGTTTTCCAGAACACCGAACAGACATCAGATTAATAAGGCTAGACAACCACGAAAACTTGTAAATTACAACATTTATAACTTCCGAGAACCTTCGGTTTAATGGACAGAATTAGGGAATATTACCTTACAAGTATTGTTTAACATACGATAACCTACATTTCATAATTTAAAAGTGATACAGTACATATATTTGAATGTACGAGCCATTATTTAAATATTCAATCAACATCAATCAATTAACATCAATAAACATTAATTTTACTTTTGTCCTCATTTAAACTAGTTAAGTACTGCATATTTTGGTTTATCGATGTTAATTGTTACCATTTATTAACTTGTCTGTAATGTTAACAAGTTATATAATTCATACTTAATTATTTATTTATTCACACGCTTTTGTTATACGTTGTCTTTGTATGCAGGCTCTTATTTTGACTTTGATTATTGACATGTACTTTTTGTAAACTAGCGTAAAATGGCTAAGAAATTCCTAGGCAATAGTAAATAAAAATACTACATGACCACAATTCACTTATGTTTTGATAAAAAATATTAGCTTAGTGCTTGTCACTACACAAAACATTTTTGTTTTTAAAAATTGCGTTTAGATCATCGTATTTCCATTTGTCCTGATTTTTATGGTTTTGTTACATATTGATGTGTTAAATAATAATTAATATTTTACCCTTCTATGCGAAATGAGGGAAACCTTACACTTATATATTAGCATTTTATATTACATTAATTTGAAATATTTTCTCATTCTAATGTTTTCATCTACAAATATTTTTTTAATGTATATAGTATCTGAGATCAAATAAAATATTTAATAATGCTACATATTACAACTTGGCATACAAAATTGTAAAATCTAGAATTGATTCCCTCACAACACTGTAATGTCATTGTAACTACTGTATTATGTTATGTTTAAGTTATATTTGGCGTGACCAAGGTATCCAGTCTAGCGTACTTGTTATCACGTTAGTTCAACCAACTCTGAACGACCGGACGTTGTAAGCTTCATCCGACCCGGAATAATGTTACCACGGCTTTTAGGCCTTTATATCGCTTCTTTGGTTAACCATAGACTAAAGCATCTTAGAGAAGCCCTATCGGATGGATCTTAGCAATTTGGGTTTGTACCCATAAGTCAAAAATATTGCACAAGTTGAGCTATGTTTAGTAAATATACAGAGTGGCTGAAAAGTAACTTGCACTCCCCCCCCCCCCTTAAAATTTTAACCTTTTGAGATATTTGAAATGGGTTAGCGGCAACCTTCTTAGAAATGAGGGGCTACAATAATTATGGTTCATATTGAAATTTTTGCCTTTAGGGGTAGTGGGGGTAGGGAGTAGCTCAAAATGTTCAAACGGCAAGTATATTCGAGTTTGGTATCACTTAACAGGTGTAATATAACAGGTATATATGTAATATATGTAATATAACAGGTGTTTAAAATTATGTTGAACTACTAAGATTGAAAAAACTAATACCTAGTAAGAGAAGCTAAAAATAACAAAATGAGGAAAGCGATCAATAAAACATTTCTTTATAAAACAAAAGTTAACAATTGACATAAAGAAACCCAAAATCGAACCACTAATAACAGAATGGTGCCCTAAAACGTATCAAATCCAAATAACCATGAGAGTGCCTGAAACTTAACTTGCACCCCCCTTAACTTTTTAACTATTTGAGATATTTGAAATCGGTTTGCAGCAACCTATTTAGATATGAGGGTCTACAAGAATGATGGTTAATTTTTAAAATGTTGCCCTTGTGGGTAGTGTGGGTGGGGGGGGGGGGGGGTAGCTAAAAATTTTCAAATAGGAAGTATGGTCGACATCAAGAAAGTATAATTCGAACCACTTATAACAAAATAGCTGTAAAAAATTACTTTTTAATAACCATTGCCTTAATGATTTGTAGCTAACATGTTGTTATTAGTTGTCCAATTTATATTTTTTATGTTAATTGTTTAGTTTTGTCAAGACCTGTAAAATGATACTTACAATAAGATTATGATAAGACAATCGACCATACTTCCTACTTTAAAGTTTTGAGCTAACCCCCCCCCCCCCATCTAAGAGCAAAATTTTAAAATTAAGCCATCATTATCGTAGCCTTTCATATCGAAACAGGTTGCCACAAACCGATTTCAAATATCTCAAATAGCAAAAGTTGAAGGGGGTGCAAGTTTATTTTCAGCCACCCTCATGGTTATTTGGATTTGAAACGTTTTAGGGCGCTATTTTGTTATTAGTGATCCGATTTTTCTTTGCTTTATGTCAATCGTTCAATTTTGTCAAGACCTGTAAAATGATACTAAACTCGACTATACTTGTGGTTTAAAACCTTTGAGCTACCCCCTGCCCTCGCTGCCTAAGGGAAAAATTTGCAAAATTAGCCATCATTTTTGTAACCCTTCATAACTAAGAGGGTTGCCGCAAACCGATTTCAAATAATTCAAGTAGTTGAAAAGTTAAGAGGAGGTGCAAGTTACTTTTCAGCCACCCTGTATTTATTCAAAGAGATTAAGTAATTAATTAAGGTTAATTAATTATGTATTTATTAACTAACCGAATTCACAGGTTAAGCTGCAAATCAATAGTCCCCGTGTAATTTGAACTAGGCCTGTCAACATAAAAAAACACTCATTTTTGTCATTCATATTAAGCAATTTGAAAATCATTATTTAAATTGTGTTCAACATTCGGCGTGGTTTTAGTATAGCTTTTAAAATTATGTTGAACTACTAAGATTGAAAAAACTAATACCTAGTAAGAGAAGCTAAAAATAACAAAATGAGGAAAGCGATCAATAAAACATTTCTTTTATTTACTTTCCGTAAATTTAATAACACGTAAAATGCTGATCAAGAAGTTATTTACAAAATTATATAAATGATCCAAACTCTATTCATAGTATTTGAAAAGCAACCAACCCTGACAAGCGTATATTCGATATCATGTTTGAATCGTAAACCGTGTACATATTATGGTAACTATCGAATATTCCAGCCGTGCCAAAAGCAGCAAAGCGTCATTCAGAATCCGTTATTGGTTTTGGCGCGATTTTACATCTAAAAGCTTTCCGCGTTGCAAAGTAGTGGGAACGCTCAGTACAATATACAACAATGTTGTACCTAACCTTTTACATTTTCATTAATTATTTGGGTTCAATCATAGCTAAAATGCATGCATTTATGCTGGAATAATGTTATACCAATTAATTGATGTTTGAAAGATTAATTTAACTTAAATATAGTTTGTTTTCACTAAATTTGTATTTTGTCTTAATCTTGGTAAACTCTAAATCAAACAACTTCTGATTGTTATGCAGGGCGCATGACTTCTATTTAGATCCATAGTACACTCATAGCTCCAGATAAGGTAAGATGATCGTGTGATCATTTTATAATAACTAACCAGCACCATTAAATAAAATTTAGAATAACTTACCGATCCTGTCGTGTATTAAACGTGTTAAACGTGTGTGTGTGTTTTTATTGGTTGACCAAATTAATCTGAAAAAATAACAACAATTTAGTAAACTATTTAAAATGTTTATAGCTTAACACATTAGCTACCAACGATACTCATCCCTCAGTTTCAGAGTAGTGTGACGGTTGGTAGGGAACGTGTTAAATTATATTATTAATAAACACTTATTTTTATGAAGAGGAGGAAACATGTTTTTACGCACACGGGATCCATTTCCATCACCATAAATAAATGTACCGTAATTCTTTTGCTAAGTACTAAACGTTTCAAATGGAAATCCAATACAACATTTACACCAGCCAGTCTCCGGCGGATTCCCAATGTTGACGGGTCTTTAATATGCATCGACCCCTGGTGTATTCCCGTTTAAGTTGCTTTTTTTTATTCAAGCAGAAAACTATTTTATCTACGACCGTTTATTAAACTAGCCGTTCCGGTTCAGTTCTTAGAATTTAAAAGATTCACTTAACAACATTGTTGTTTTACTTTACAACACGAGAAACGGACCAATGAGGTTCGAGGATTAAGAGAAAAGAGGTAAAATTTGTATAATTCGAACGTCAACTTATCAGCTGTTAAGACCAATTTATTAAACAATAAGTGAGTGGTTGGGACAGTTGCATCAGTTGCATCCCAATCGGTGACTATAAGGAAGGGACAACAAACGAAAACATAACCTCTCTTGGAAGTTATGATTAGTGATTTTTTGTATTAATTTAGAAATTGTCGTAGGCAAAGTGTAGTGTACGCAACTCGCATAATTAGCATTGTACGCAATCGTTGCGTAAACTACTGTTATACTATTCTTGAAACTTTTTGCAGCTTTTACTCTCCTGATTATGTGACGCAGATTCATAACGGTATACGCTTATTCTATTGCTGTTTTAAATTGGGGGTCAATTTTAATTTGGCTGTGACTTAATTTTGCCTAGTGGTTAGGTGGAAAGTGCGAGGTGAACGGGTGCAATTCCTGTCATATCCACTAAACATTTAAGGGCTTTGAACAGTTTTCCTTTGCGTGCTTTAATTCAAAATGCTACTGGCATAGACACTAGAAAAGAGTCAGTGTATGTAGCAATCAGTTGGTCTAGCATTAGATGCAATGGATCCTCCGCTTTGCTCCGAATATCGTTAGGATTATTTTACATTGGTACGTTAATCATCTCTAGAATAATATCTTACTTTAACACTATAGTTATTTTAGAGAGTAGACCAATGCATTTATGTGACAACATATTCTCTGTAAATGAAAGATTAGTGTAAAAAATTAAATTTCATTTTTACTTCTTATGGTCAACTGTATCAATGATTTATAAGTTTACGAATGTATAGCCAAGTATACTCATTTAATGAAAACATAGTGGCTATATCGCAACCGAGAGCTTGTTATATACAAACTCTTAAAATATAGGCTTCTAGGCCACAATAACAAGATCAATTTAGGTCTAGAGAGTGACCTTTAAAGGGCATCAACAAGGGTTTGACGTATGCCAATGATATTGTTTGGACCTTTGACTTCAAGATAACAAGCTCTTAACTATAGTAACTAGTGGAGTAATACATATGAAACTTAAATTTTCGCATTTAAAATATACAATATACATCTTATACATTTTACTCTAATTGTTTTTACTTATACGATAATTTTTAAATACCAACATATTATGAGCCCTTAGATTAAATTAATTTAATCAGCTATCTAAGGGTGGGGCAGCAAAACTTCTTTTTTTTTATGTGCGCCATTTTGTTTGTTCATATCATAGCGAAGAGTTAGCAGTCTCGTTCGAGAGGCAAGGCTATAAAGTTTTGTCCTTGCACAGTTTAGTTGTCATTATGGGTTGGAGGAGCGTGCGTTTGCTGTTGACGCCTACTTTTCGAGTGGATGTTCAGTGATCGGTGATCGCAGCACAGCGTGCCTTTCGAAATCGGTTTAATTTAGCCCCGTTGGACCCTGTTCCGGACCGGAAATCAATTGTTATGTGGTTCAATACGTTTAGACAAACTGCAAGTGCAACAATAAAAACTGGAGTCCCATGGCCCATTAGATCACCTAAGAACATTGAGGTAGTGAGAGCATGACATTGAGGCAATGTTGCGATCACCAAGGCGCCCAGCGCTCAAAGATGAGTCTGCCCTTGGATATTCCAATCGTTCTGTAACGAGAATTTTCCTACATTTAGGAGACCTACATTTCCATCCATACAAGATGGCGATTGTGCAGGATCTGTCAAAACGCCTTATTTCAATCAGGGGCGATTTGCAATGGCCGGATCAATCTCCCGATTTGTCCCCTTGCGGTTTTTTCTATGGGGTTTTTTTAAAGTCCCGCGTTTATGTGAACCGTCCAAGGACCCTCCAAGATAAAAAAAAAACAAGATCCAGGAAGAAATTGCCAACATAACGCCTGCTATGCTTGAAAAGGTAATGAAAAACACCAGAAATCAGTATACTCAATACATCTAGTATGGGAGACGTTACCTGTATGATTTATTCTTCAAATCTACGTAAAATAAAACTTTAGGAATATCCTAACGCTATAAAAACTAAATAAAGGTGGCTGACTCATACAGTGCGTTTTATTAAGCTTTGAAAAAAGGAAGTTATGCTGCCCCACCCAGTGTTTAACTATTTAAACTACGGTATAGCATTATGGAAATCTTTGTTATTCTAATTTGTTATTACATAATACTACTGAAAACATTTTGAAATATTATTGAAAGTGTTAAAATACTATTAAGAAACACGTATTCCTGAAACAATTAATTTCATATTCCATTTAATTAATAATGACATTAATATGGTAGGTAATAGAGAGAGTTCGTAAACACAGAAACAGTCCTCTTCGCCCGACGGAACTTTCGCTTTTCGTTTTATAAATAGGTAGATGAGTCTTCAACATGGGCTCCAAACCACAGTTTCGAGGAATTATCCTACTTTAAACTGTTGCTAAAATATTTTCGAATGATATGATTAAGCAAAAAAAAAACAGTTTTAAAAACCGTGAGTTTTAAATAAACAATTGCATAAATTGTGTTGATTTATTTGCCTAAGCCTAAAATGTATTATCGTAGTAAAACAAAACACGGACTTAGCACTCAAGGCGCGCATAAATTTTGAAATTCCTCACAAGTTTGTACAAGTTAGAACCAGTAATAGTAATACTGGGGGGAATTATATACCCAAGTAGGCGAGGATAGTCTTGTTTAAAGTCAAGTTTTAAAACGTGCTTAACTTGAAAAAATGCAGTTTTACCTTGCAACACAAGTATAAGTAGGCCAAGTAGTTCCTCCCCAAGTTTTGCGCACTGACTTGGATAAGTCCATTTCCGTTACTTTTCTAGTATACGAATTTGTCCTATTTCCTGGCACAAAATTGGCTAATAGTTACCGGTTTTCTTTTACCTTGGCATGCTGGATCTTTTTAGAAGTTACAGAAATAATTTAAATTTTTTAGAAAAAGGTAAATGTATAATGTTACTGGCATGGTTATCGTCACACGGACGAGATCACGGAACCACCGCCCAGGTTCAAATCACACAACCACTATTATAATTAATATTATTTCATTATTATTTTAAGAACCCGACTCACAGACTTTTACTAACGGTCTCTGCATTTCATAATACTTGGTACAGAAAACTATACAAAATCTTTTACTTCAGTCGAGTTTCAACTGATATCACATCTTGTAATTTATCTGTACTCCCGATAAGTTTATTTAATGTTGAGATTAGTTGCATTCTTGTATTTATTAGGTATATAAAACACTTCAAACGAGTAATATGCGACATGCACGACATATTACTAGCGTCTGATTCTCAGAACATGGACAGTGGCCAAATAACACTTGTTGGTGGCTTAAAAGCCATGTACTAACTGAATATACGCCGAGTTTACTACAGGAGCATAGTCTGTCATCGTGTTACTTAAGGCTTGAATGTACTTAGTTAAAATCTACGATTTTCCTACTCTATCATAAAAATTAAATGACTGTAAAACGATTTGTTTTCACTATGCATAAACTACTGGATCGAATTAACTGAAATGTTGCACAAATATAATTTATACAAACAAAGGATTATTATAATACGTCTATTCCAGTTTTAATAACAACCTAGGGCTTGCCAACGAGACATATTGATAACATTTTGCTGTCCTGTTATATAAACAAAGTGTCATATTGAAAGTGGTGGGGGATATTCCTTTGGTTTGCAGTATCTGCAGAGTATGTGAACATAATGATTAATATACATCTATGATGGTACATTATTGTTTTCATTTAATCAATCCCTACTGATGTAAGGATTGATATCCTAAAACTGGCGTATTCTACTCCCATCCCAAACCGTACAGATTAAAATAGCATTATTCAAAACTATTCAATTTTTTATGATTACGTTAGATAATCCTACAAGATACCTTTGGGGTTTGTTGTAGATTTTAAATGCACTTGGGTAGATTTGCCACATTTATACATACAGTATATTAAATTTTGTAAATACAAAATACTAGCAGAGTGCCCATCCTTTACTAAGCACAATAGCTACTAGTTGTATATTTACTAACCCACATCAAACTCTATTGTTCAACACTTAATTTCAATAACATATTCATTCCACGAGATCGCTCGAGTTTCAACGCTAATCGACCAGACAAGCGTTCGTGTATCTGTGATATCGGTCAATCAAAATCACATTATTGCCGGCGACACGATTTTGTGAGCTGGAAATAGATAAATACCAAATTATTCCCTCGACATTTCCCTCAAATTGTCAAAATCCACCTGTTCATATTATTATTTTTGTGAGCGTATAAATAATGGTTAAAAAGTTATTTCGATTTGTAATATGAAAATTTACCCACGTTTCTAGTTTTTAGCGAATTTCCCATATAGGGAATAAGCTATTACCGTAGTACTCATGGTAAGACCTGGACGCGGGACCGATTTTTTTTTTCGTTTTGAGGTCCGTAGAGGCCAAAAACACCATCTGTTCAAATTCATATATATATATATATATATATGT